GACAGATTTTGAAAGTTTACTGTATGGTGCTAGGTATTGCAATCCAGATACATGTAATATAATCATATCAGGCCTACCACCTTGTGTGGACACAGAGGTGAAAGAAATCAATGATCTGATAATTGACCTATGCCAAGACTTCAACATACAGTACATTCCTCAATACTCATCTTTCTTTCTTCAGAAACAGGATATCAACCTAAGTCTCTACCACAGAGACAAACTTCATTTAAGCAGAAAAGGAACCTCTCAACTAATGAGAAATATCAACATGTATTATTTTCAGACACTACATGTATTATTTTCAGACACTATAATGAAGAGTACTGTATCTACTGTGGGGAAACTGGCCATATGACACAGGTATGCCCTCATGGCAAACAGATTGAGTGCTTCAGATGTCATAAATTTGGACACAAACAAAGACTCCCTCAATCAATGTATTATTCATACTAGGAAGTTGGCAAAGAGGAGAATGCCAATGCTTCATCCATAATAAATCAAAATTTACCTAGAGAGACTTTTGACTCTAAATATCCAATGGACACGGTTGTAAATGTAAATGTCAATGGATTTTCAGGGTCTATATGTGACTTTAAAGATGCTAATATATATGAACATTTAGGTATGGAAATAGAATGTAAGAATGATAAAAGAAGTATGGAGACAATATACGGGGGTAACCCATTGTACGACATACATATAATTGATATGAAAATAAATGCAAAAAGGTTTTTAATGTAGGTCACTTAAATGTACAGAGTATAGTGGGAGGAATAGACCAAATTAAGTTAATGTTGTCTTCCAAGGAAAATAATATAGCTGTTTTAGGACTCACTGAAACCAAACTAAATGCTAACCACAATGATGATCTTTTTCATTGTCAAGGCAACAATAAACAATTACACAGGGACAGAGAGACAGCAAGGGGAGGTCTTGTTGTATACATTAGAGAAGAGGTAAATGCAGAAAGGAGACTTGACTTGGAGTCGCAAGAAATTGAGAGTATTTGGGTGGAAATTTATTAAAATAATGCAAAATCATTTCTAGTTGGTTTCATTTATAGGCCACCTTCCTCCAAAACAATTTGGAATGATAACTTTTTGAAACAAATTGAAAATGTTCTTGCACAGGAGAAAGAAACATATATACTTGGTGATATAAATAATGACCTTCTCAATACTCAAATAAGGAAGAACTGGACAGAATTTATTGAATCATTAGGCCTAGTACAGATGGTAAATGACCCCACTAGGCTAACAGAAACATCAAGCACTCTTATTGATCACATTTATACCAACCTACCAGACAATGTAACTTCTGTTAACATACCAAAAGTTGGTCTTAGTGACTATCCTACTTTTTTGACAAGGAAGGTTAAATGCAAGAGAAATAAGAAAAATACACACAAAACTATCACTTACATATCATTCAAAAATTTTCATGAATAACAATTTCTCAAAGACCTATATAAAGCTCCATGGAAGATGATCCAAAATTTAGATGACATAGATGAAGCTCTGAGGGTGTGGACTGACTTATTTATGGATGTAGTCTCTAAGCATGCACCACTCAAAGAATGAAATCCAACCTAATTGGCTTACAACTGAAAACCTTGATGCTCTGAAAACAAGAGACCAATTCAAGGCTATGGGAAACCATGCACAATATAAAGTATGGAGAAACAAAATAACAAATATCAAAAAAGCTAAACAAAATTATTATCAATCATTGCTTGAAAACAAAAAGAGCAACAAAAACTGCATTTGGAATGTCTTCAATGAACTCACTGGAGGAACACATAAATAAAATCCACTCACTTCTCATAAATGACACCATAGTCACTGATGACAATGACATTGCAAATGTTTTCAATGATTTTTTTTTCTCCCAACATTACAACAAAGTTAAAAGAACTAGTGATTGAAAACAACTTTATTGAACTGAAAAAGTTCTAAAGCAGCAAAATCTCTAAGGAGGTATGTTTCTCCATCCCACCAGTCTCAAAAAAACTTTGTTAAGAAATATCTCAGTGAACTTGATACTAAGAAAGCTACAGGACTTGATCAGATTGGTCCATGACTAATTAAATTTTTGCCTCTGCTTTTGTAGATAGCTTAACATTCATAATCAATTTAAGTATTGCATCCTCATCTGTTCCCAAAATATGGAAAACTGCAAAAGTAACTCCTATTTACAAATCTGGCCCTAAGGATGATGCTGATAACTACCAGCCAATCTCGATACTACCAAACTTGTCAAAATTGATTGAAAAGCATGTCCATGATTCATTCATATCATATTTAACCAAACACTTTCTGTTATACCCTAATCAATCAGGCTTTAGACAGAAACACTCATGTCTGACTGCCTTGATCTCCCTAAATGATAAATGGCTTCAAGCACTTGATCAAGTTAGAATAATAGGTTCTGTATTTGTAGATTTCAGGAAAGCTTTTCACATGGTAGATCATGAATTCCTTTTGAAGAAACTGAAAATCTACCAATGTGATGAAAGCACAATTAGATGGTTTACTTCATACTTAAGTGAGAGAATACACCATGTTTATATAAATAATGTTCTGTCTGAACCTGGAACAATTAGATGTGGAGTTCCACAAGGCTCAATTCTGGGTCCATTACTGTTTATTTTATTTATTAATGACCTAACACTTGTACTAAAGGACTCAGTATCATCTACAGATCTCAATGCAGATGACACAACATTGTCAGACATCCAAAACACAAAACAAGAACTCGAAATTTCTTAACAGAATGCCCTAAACAAACTAGAAAACTGGTGCACATGCAATGGCATGGTGGTTAATACTGGTAAAACTAAAATATTACTTATTTCAACATGGAAAAAAAGAACAAAACTTGATAGTGATGAACTATGTCTGACATGGAAGGATAAAAGGTTGCAAATGGTCTGTCATGATAGTCTACTTGGTGTTTTGGTAGATAATAACGTATCATGGACTGAACATATCAAACATATCAGTAAAAAAGTCAATTCAAGTTAATGGCTTCTCAGTAGGATAAGACACTTTCTCCCAAAAAAGCACAGAAAACTATTTTATACTATTTAGACTACTGTAATACGGTATGGGGTAATTCAAATGATAAAATCTTAGCAAAGCTGGCACATCTCCAAAAAAGAGTTTTTGAGTTAATATCAATCCAGAAAGAAAGCAAGAAAAATTTAGCTGGTAAGTTAAAAATACTACCTGTTAAAGACGGAATCTGTTTAAGAAAAGCCAAATTAATGTACAAGATAGCCAATGATAGTGCTCCTGAATATTTACAATCACTATTCAAGTATAGATTACCTGGAAATACTCCCTACCTGCAATCAAGGTCTACCAAACATTACAAAATTCACAAACCAAAAAAGGAATTATTTAAAAAAAAGTTTGCAATACTCTAGAACTTTGCTCTGGAATAGTATTCAAATTGAGATTAGAAATGCCCACTCTATTTCCTCTTCTTTTCAAACCCAGTATATACAATGGCTTCAGAGATGCAGCAAAAATAAATAAATTCCTTTGACTGAGGGCCTCAAGGTAGATTAGTTCTTAGCTAATTGAGTTACCCTCTTTAAATAAAGTCATAATAAATATACTCTGGTGACTTAAAGCTGCTGTTTTTACACATCATAGTATGCTTCCAAGCAAGTCCCCATTTTCTTTCATTAGCAATTTGCAACTCTGGGCTGTCACATGCTAACTTGATTACCATGGCGATGAATGATGTCATTCCACATCTCAACATTTTTTTTTCATGCAGATGATATGTGTCCCATCATGTTCATTCAATTCTGTCTCTTTCAGGTCAATTGGATGACTGGAGATCCCCATTTCTTGGCTTTACAGACTGTGTGCCAGACTGGAGATTCCCATTTCTTGGCTTTAAAGACTGTGTGCCAAACTGGAGATCCCCATTTCTTGGCTTTACAGACTGTGTGCCAGACTGGAGATCCCCATTTCTTGGCTTTACAGACTGTGTGCCAGACTGGAGATCCCCATTTCTTGGCTTTACAGACTTTATCTGGTCACTGGAACAGATACAGCAATGGAAGTTGGTAGAATATCATCAGTCAGATATCTAATTCCTTTGTTATGTGGAATATATCCAGGTTTAAAAAGACTTGTCTTCTTCTTCTATTACTCTTTCCATTACAATAACTGCATGTAAAATACAAGAAGTATCCTCTCTCCCACACTTATTTACCTTGAAAGATGCTTGCTAGTTTGATTTCAGATAACTACACCAACTCTTCAATACTATTAGAAGCCTGACATATGAGGGCTCCTTCCTTTCATGTGTGGAAATAATGTCTTGTACTTGGTGCAACATGTAGCTAGTGTATTAAAGTATTAAACTTGGTTGAATTGCCTCATAGCAGACAAGGAAAACCATTGATGTTCATATTGATATTCATTGATGTTCATGATAAAGGAATGGAGAGACTTGGCCATAGAACAAAATTAGTCAACTTCATGTTTTAAATCTTCATTAAAATTTAAGATATATTTATAAATGTTTCATAGAATAATGTATCATTTTTTAAAATTGAATTTTCTAGAAAAGTTTAATTTTTATCACTTTCCTGATAGGTATTAGCAACTAATTACAGTATGTGTTATGTGGTTATCTTTATCAGCAAAATCACTATTAAACTAAGATTTTTGCAGTTTTGACAGTCGGCTATTTGGAACTGGCTTGTACTCATCTTAGTGATGTCAGATAAAAGCCTGTATTTGTCCTATTCATGGATTATAATTTTTAACGTAGCTTTAACAATTTTTCAGTCATATCGCTACAATGTCTGCAGTGCAACAGTTTATAGCGGATGTCTAGCACTGGCGCATCATTCCGCAAACCTGTAGCATGGTGTCCCACCCAGTCACATTATCTTGACCAGTTCTAACACTAACCTCTTAATGCTGAGCATCAAGCAAGGTAGCTGTTAGTACCATTTTTGTAAGTCTTTGGTACGACTCGACCGGGGATCAAACCCACGACCTCCTGCATCTGAGGCAGAAACTTTAACAACTAGGCCACCTGAGGGGTTTATTCATTGATGAAATTCCTTAAAACTTTGTTGCGGTATTTAAGAGACATTGCATTGATCATGGATGGAGGTTTTGTCCATGGAGGTGAAATTGTCTGAATCTTGCAGACATTAGGTTACAATTCTAGTTCAATAACCACAAATGTAGTTCTAGTCTAGTAGAACATTTTTTTCTCTCTGATTTTGGTGTTGATAGAAGAGTTTTATTGGTACACTTTTGGTATGGATTAGAAGGTAATTGTTTATTATTGAGAATTTGAGCTTAGCTTATGTTTGGTTTTCTGTGTGTTTTGGCAGCAGTGCACAGTGAGTAATAAGGAAGTGAAATATGTATTCCATTGCATGGTGTTTTGTTTACAATTCAACCTCTCAAAAAAAATGCAGGTCAACTCCTGACAAGAACTTTACCGTAAAGTCATCTTTGAAGGTATTTTAGATTATTATATGATTTGTATTGATTGTTATAGTGGAAAGTTCAGTACTGAGAAACAAATGTAGAGAATATATAGTAAAATTGTATCCTATGGCCTGTAAACAGCAGCCATTTTGAGCCTGTTTTTGTAGCACCACCTTCGGAAAAAAAACACCCTATTAGATACTACATTCATTGGCATCAGATCATGTGGTCACTGTTTATGCTCAGGTTGAAATCGGCTATCTAAAATACGGCGGTCGTAACTGTGTCTCTTCAATCTGGCAGTCGCTGATATCATTCAGTACTTGCTTGAGTTTTCATGATTAGAATCACAACTATGAAAGCTTCAATAACTTAGGTAAAAGCTCTGATACTCATGTAGGAAGCCATTAGTTTTATAAATTATCAAATTCAGCTGATTTAGTGATATAGATGCAGACAAAGAACTTGTAAATTTCGAGTACGAGAAATTGCCTCTACGGTTGATCACGCAGCTTCACTGACTTAATAGTGAATGAGCTCTCTCAAAATTTTAAAGCAAATACAAAATTCTTTTGTGAAAAATAATTATACAGCTATAATGACTGTATTTTACTCCTAAATCTTTCCATACATAATATATGTGTACTAAAATTGTAAAATGGCCTATGCATATTGCACTGCAGTGGATAAATTTGCTACTTGCATATCAAAGGGCTAAAAAGCCAAACACTTTATGAGGGAAAAGGAAAAACTAATTTACAAAATTACAATTGAGATCAAATAGGTTAACATAAATTAGTGAATTCTTTTAAATGAGAATGAATAATTTAAATTAAATTTTCCAAATCATATTCATTTAGCATTTTAAACTTAATTTTAAACAATATATTTGATTAGTGATATCAATTATGTATATAAAATGTATTGAATATAACTGGGCTGCAAATCTTGCTTAAAATCAATAATGCCACTATAGACAAAAATAAATAAACATTTTAATTATGAATTTGCTGTCGTGTGACACTAGTAAAATAATAACAGGCCAAAGTGGACCTCCTAAAACTCATTTGCCTTACTTTAGTGTAAAAGATAAATAATAGCATATTCTGGGTAATGTGACTTGAATGATATTCTCCATTTCATTATGACAGCCACAAAATTGCAAGAGTAACCCAACCTTGGTAGAACATTCATTGTACATGTAATGTACATTTATTGTACATGTAATGTACATTCATTGTACATGTAATGTGAAACCACATTTTTATTCACATGGATGTATTTGAGGAGAATTAAGTAAAAAAAATTCTCTTACAAAAGCTGGATATTGGTAGAGACATTACATATGCTATGTATACTGGATATTGGTAGAGACATTACATATGCTATGTATACTGGATATTGGTAGAGACATTACATATGCTATGTATACTGGATATTGGTAGAGACATTACACTGGCACAACTTTTGTAGAAATTGTTCTTAAGTAAATTCCTGGAAAACTAGTGGATTAGTGTTAGAAATATCAGTTACATTTTCCATCAGGTTGCCATACAAAACAGAACTACCAATTCTTGTAATCTCGTTGGCCATACATGTTTAATCTCAATGAAAATTATTCTGTTAGGAATATGTGTATGTACTGTAAAGGTGTAAGTTATTCTTTTGTACCTTTTCTACATAGTTGGTATGCAGCTCATTTTCATATTAACCAACTAAGTTTTTTTTTTTCTGTTTTATTGCAGGAAGGAAAGGGATCAAGAGCTGGTAGAATTTAACAAACAATTTTATCTGGGCATTTGTTCAGAAGAAACAACCTTTACATTTTGTAAAGCACCAACAGGAAAAGTGCAAAACAATGACTTATACAAAACCAGATAATTGGCAAGACAACTTGATACAAATAACTAAAAAATATACATATGTTTTCTGTGATGTATATTTTCTGGACATGTTACAGTAGGAATAAACTTTATGAAAAATTTTAAAATAAAGACAGTAGAAACTGAAATTAGAAATTATTTCATATAAGGCTCAGTCTGTGACTTGTCCTATAAATCATGTAACTTGTCCTATTGACAAGTGACACAAAACTCTGAAGATGACTATTAACCATGTGATACAAAGCGAATTAGATTCATAATATTTTCTTTTTAAAGTTTGATTCTTACAAGACATCAGTGTTTTGAGCAACATTTGAAAAGGTTTTCAAATTTTAACTGTAAAATTTAAAATATCACAGAATGTATAGAAATTTTTGGTTGACAGCAGTGGCCCAAAGTGGCAGAGTTGGAGTGGTCTAAAATGCTAAATGTTACAGATTATTGCCATGTCACATCTGTCTGCATGGGTTTGAGTCTTGGGTTTGGCCAGTGTGGGTACATAAGTAAGATTGTCAGTAGTAGGTCAATAGTTCTTTCCAGGGTTTCCCAGGTTTTTACCCACCATTTATACTGGCTGCCATGTATAGCCTATCTTGTGCTGAAAATGGCACTAAACCCTATAACATCAGCTTGCTTAGGTACATCTCTTTGCTTTGGTCATGCAGAAAGACTTATCATGGTTATGATGAGAATGACACACATGATGTACAAATGACATCTTTCTTGCATCCAAGATTATGATGATTTCAGATCTGTGCTAGGCTGATCCCAGCATTAGGGTTTATTCTGGACTGATCTCAACTAATCTATGCAAGGCTGATCCCAGCATTAGGGTGTATTCTGGGCTGATCTCAACTAATCTATGCAAGGCTGATCCCAGCATTAGGGTGTATTCTGGACTGATCTCAACTAATCTATGCAAGGCTGATCCCAGCATTAGTGTTTATTCTGGGCTGATCTCAACTAATCTATGCAAGGCTGATCCCAGCATAAAGCAAGTAACCTGATTTTAAATAACATGCATCATATCACATGAGCTGACCCTAACTAGGTTATATAGAAATATTCTCACATTCCTATGTGTATGGTTATTTTCCACTTTTAAAAACCAGTCCAAGATTGCTTGCTCATGCTTGACTTCTCATTATATTGACAATTTACATAGTGATTACAAAATATCAAACACTTGTTTGCATTATCACTTGAAATCTTTTTCACCAGTAATCAAATTAGACATTATTTGAAACATATTTACATTTTAAACTGAGCAGTTGTTTAAATCCCACAAAGGTTTCACACTGGTCAACCTAGATACATTAACAGGATCTATAGTCCAATTGAGTTGAAAATGCTGTTGTTGTAATAAATTTATATTCTCAGCATTTTTTCTTTAAGTTTAATCAAGATTGATTGGCTAATTCAGGTGAAAAAAAGAATCTAAAACTGCTAAATTAGTGCCTTTATACAAACTGCCCAAGTTCTATTTTACAGGTTGCCAGTCGTGTCCTGCATATACCCCAGTCAAAGCTCTTCCTCAGGGAGACAGGAACTAAACCAAATACCTAACCTATAGTGACAGACATCATTATAGTAAGTAGCTACTTAACTTTGGCCATAAGTCATAGTTAAAGATTGTTTTCAAATATCTTGGATAACATAGTTCCTGGTTACATTACACAGGATGGCATATTTTGATATTTGAACACTTTTAGAAGATTTAAAAAGAATTATAAAAAGTTTTAGATTCACAAGTAGTGTTTTAATTTTATTTTAGATGACCATTCTCTTGGGAAAGCACATTTGTCAGTTTGGTACAAAAGTAGAACCTTGATTTGATCCTATTGACTGATAAAATTCCAAGTATAAAAAAAAATTGAAAGGAAGAATGAATCCTAATACATAGCAGGGATACTTTAAAATACACTTGACTGTATCATTCTGAATTTTAAGGAAGCTTGCACAAAAAATAATGGAGTCAGAAGAGAAAATCCCAAAGCAACTTGGGAGGGATGGATATGTGGAACAGTTGACATGATCTGTTATTTGAAATGAAGACCAATACACTTGTTCAATTACAATGAAACTCACTTATAACTTGATTTTAAAAATTGTTGGGCTTTAATAATGTAATTTAAGATATGTCATGTTGAACCTAAAAATTTCATTAAAAATTTTGGTGCCTATTTTTCTTTTTCAAATACATTGCATGAGCACTTTAACTTGATATTTCATATAGACATTACCTCTTTTTTTGGCCATGATTTTGTTGTGTTGATAGATTTATAGCTTTGCTGTCATGTTGAACACAAGTACATTCTGAACATTTAAAGCCTAGTTTTAATAAAATAATCAGAAGAATTTAGAGTTATTCTCTAGTTTGATCAGTATTACACATTCCTAATGATGACCAAATGTAAGGGAGACAATCCTGAGATATGTCTATCACAAAATGCACTTCTCTGCCTTGCAGCATGCGAGTAGTGGTCTAAGCATGTCTGGTTGGGATTGATGCAAAAAGCAAAGAGAAGAACAAATGAACTTACTTTTTTAAGGAAAAAGATAATGTTTTAAACCCTCATCTAAAATCTACATGACTTGCATGCCTTGTGAGGGATGCTACTGGCCTCCCTTCTCCCTAAAATTACATCACCAAACAGCTACAGTGACATCAGCAGAAATGAATGAAAATTGATTGGAATATTAACAACTAT